GATTAGGAGCTTAATGATTTCCGTTTTAGGAGAGCCCTAGGTTTTTTAAGTGAGAACAAATTAGAAAAATAAAAATAAAAGATAAAACCCTAGCTTTGGTGAGTGACTGAGCCACATCTTTTATCTCCATAGTCACTTTCCTTCATGGGTTTTTCTGTTCTGGGCACCTTGAAGAAACTTATTAGGAGCAGACAAAGGTCGTGTTTTATGCCATTATTTTACTCTTAATTTAATTAATGTTAAGCGATTGGGTGGGCTATATATTTTTATTTCTTGTTGATCTTTGTGGAAATCATACATTTTTACTTTATACTTTTATTTCTTTTTTCCTGTCAGAAAGAAAATGATCTTGAAAGCAATAAACTTTTGCGTTAGAGATTCTGATTTTGACGTTTCAGAGTTTTGTTGCGTACTCAAAATGTTTTTCAACTTGTTACTTCTTTTTTTTCCCTGCCAGTGAGCAACCATCCTCAGAAAAACCTAGTCATAACCTTTTACCAATGAGTTTTCCTTGATCAACTATTTTTGCTTGACTTCTCGTTTAGTTCATATAAGTAGTAAAGAGATTGCTGCTCTTGTTTACTATGTAAAACTTATTGGATTATTGAATTAGCCGATAACCCAAAAATTATCAGCAATAAAACACATGTTAGGCTCATTCAATAATAGTACTTTGGATTGGGTAAAAAGGAAAAGCAAATTTTTAGGATATCTATTGTCGTCAGAAGACTACAGTTATTGATGAATACATTTAATACTAGTAGTAATCTTTCATTGGAGTTACTTTATAGTCAACTCTAGAAAAACTTACTTATGGTCTATTTCAAGTTCCAATGATCTGAGAACAAACCCATGGGGATTTTTGTTGATCATCGGAAATAGTATCATTGCCAAGTGTTTGGTCTGATTTGCATGTCGTGGGTTGAACTTTTTGGCGTCTTGTTGGACTTATTACATGTAAACGCTGCTCAGTGTTATGCTTATATACGAATAAACCGCATCAGAGTAGAGAAGTGCATTTTTATTGTTGTTGGATTTGCTTATTTATGTTCTCTTTTATTTTTACATCTAAACCATTGACGCTTTTTTCATGTAACTAAACCCTAAGATACAGAATTGTTTTGCTTAAAGGGTTAATTAGGCTTCGACCTTATATCCGAGATTGACTGGGATGGTTTTAAAAATAGCTAAAATATTTGAGTCCGAAACGAATTAAATGATCACGTTAATGGAATTACTGATAGTGCCTTGGGGATTTTAAATAATATAATTAGTCCGAAACGTCTACCTGAAAGATGTAGCTGTAAAGAAATGGAACTCCATGAAGCAGTGGACTTATTTCAGCTTTGCAGGGTTTTCCATATCGCGGTATCTACTTGTACTTGGGTAATGGTATTGTTTATTATTGAAAAAGCTGAACGTATTTTTATTAATCAATAGGAGTTTGCATAGAGAATCAATTGGAAGATGTTGAAAAATCGATTACTGCATGTTGTCCATGGTGGGCGAATGTTTATGATTAATTGTTTTTTATATTTGTTCAAAGTACAACTAACCTTTTGGATATGATCTCATCTTGTTTTTTTTTTTTTTTATATATTCGTTGTGAGCTTTAACCATCTTTTTTATATAACAGTTTTTTTTTTCACCTGAATGAATCATAATCTAATTAGAAAAAGGCTTACATTGTTGGATTATATTCACATGGGATGTGATCTATTAGTTTCTCACAGATTAGTCACATGCTTAGTTTCTTTTGTTTTAGTTAATACAACCAATCCTTCTTAGTTCAACCATTATTTAGTGCAAGCCCGTCATGTGCTTTCTTTGAACAAGCTGGAACATACTTTTCTTCTAATGTTTAGCTAATATTATAGTTAGCATTTAACTGCAATGAGAAAATAGTTAACAAAGTGCATGACGAGCTTGAATGAGGGAGTTCTTTTGGTTTTTTGTTAAAAGTAAAGGTTTAAAAAGTCACATGGACTCCCGTGGATTCCGCTAGTGATCTCCCACCATTAAGACCCCACACACCTTTCTCTCCTAAGGTTTTGTTTTTGATTTGGTGTAGAAAAAACGAGTAGAAAACATAGGGTTCTCTACACCCACAATCAAATCATCTACATGATTGAGACTATGCTTCTACATCTTTCTCAACTTCTTTGCATATTAGTGGTTGTCATTTCTTCTTGTTGCGTTGTTCCCTTGGTGGGTCGTATTATGTTCCTCTACGGCGCGTTACTTGCATGTGTCTATTTATTTTGCATGTTACCTTCTTCGGTCAAACCCTATTTTTTCCAAGCAGTCAATGCGTAGTTGAAAATGTGAAGATGTATTCCAAACTAACAAGGCATGTGTATGTGTATACAATTTGAACATGAGTAAGAAGCTCCTCTTTCAATGGTGCCCTCTGATAGTATCACGATCAGCTCATGTTCTATGCGTTTGAAGATGTTACAATTTGAACATGAATAAGAGATTGTTGCCATCTCTATATTTTTCACAAAATTGACATAGTATTTGTTTTTAATTCTTTTGACTCTCTTGAAACATCTTTAGTCATTTTCTTAGTTGACTTGTAGGGTTTAGTAAAATTTAATTTTATGTCATTTGAATTGAAACCACTTGCTTGAACTGATGTGGCATAACCCATTCTTTGTCTGCCCTTTGCCTTCTCTGGGAAAAAGATATGTGGACTGTAAATGTTTTTATTGTATCTTATCTTATCTTAAGATTTAGTATTTCTCAACAATTGTATGTATGTGTTCGACGGTCCATTGTTTTGTATGATTGACTTGATATTTTAATTCGGGAGTAACCACGGTTGCTTGTCCCGACTCAATCTTCTGTGACACAGTCAAAACTATTATGAAATCAGGTAAAGTTCTTGAGTCATCTTTTTGGGGTTGAGTTTGGTGTCAGGAAAGCTTGGTAAGAGTGGGTCAGTGGAGTTATTGGGGCATATGCAATTTCTT